CAACAGCTGATGTCATAACTCGCATTATAGAAAATCGGTACGTGATGTTCTTGTTTTATAAGGAAGCTTCTTCTATAATTTTCTAGCGCAAGATTTTAACTGCTAAAACAACAAGAGTTTCCGCAAGAAATCAGCTAAAGTGCTTGAAAGTAGAGTGTGACGTTGCTCTAGTCTTCACCTTCTAGAATTCATCGTCAGATCGCTTGCCTTCTTTTTAGTATTTCTTACGCTTAAACCGTTTTTCTACAGCTCCATTGCATAGTCTTTCTGCTTTTACCTTCATAGATATTAGTCCATTGTTTTCTTTGTAAACAATGAATCCTTCGCTCAAGTAGCGTGGCATCTATTATTATTTTAATTTTACGTTTGAGACGATGCTATTAAGGTACCGGGTTCCGATCCGTTCTCACTTGGGAACAAGTAAACATGAACACCGAGAGCTGATACAGTTTAGCAGATTTTCAACCTGTATCGCATCTTTATGAAAAATTCTAGTTTTGAGTGTTTAAGACATATCCCGTTTTGAAAACTATTTTTCCACAAACAAGAAGTATTACTCCATCCACGCAAAAAAATGTTTTGCAATTTCTACACGAGAATCAACACGGTCGATAATTTCTTCGTTTTATTTATGCCACCTCCAGTGGCATGTATGTGTCGATATGAACTGAAGGAACATGGTTGTGTTCATGCTGTTGGACTCATGATGGTGTGGGGAGTTCGATCTATTCCACAAGCCATTGACAAACATTGCACAAAAGGACGTCCTAAAAAAGAAAGCCAATTTTTATCCAAACACTAGTGACAAATTCTTTAACTCAAGTCTTCCTCTGCCTATTTTCAGTTTTTCCATTGAACAGATGCAGTTAAGCAATCACTGGAAAACCAGTGTAAATTTGGTGGAAAGGGAGGACAGTTTGTGAGGACACTTTGAAGTAACCGAGAACTATAGTATGTTTCCTAAAATGGCTTAATTAGATTTTCTTTCTTGATCTAATCAATGATTTCAGCATAAAAAATGTATTTTTCGTAACCGGGATCAAAAATATGTTATTTCCGTGATCTTTTAACGGGTGTACCATAATAAACTGGAGTAAATGCTACTGCATTTTTTCGTACTTGCTCTTCAAATAGGAAGTTCCTTTATACAGCAAAAGATAGAGAATTCTCTACAAAATCTATTATTTGAATCTCTGAGAGCATTTTTCTTGTTTGAGCACCATTCAAAATATTGAAGGGTGCTGAGCTGTTAAACTGTGACACACTGAAAATAGAAAAAGCATTTGTCTTGATCCAAGAACAGATTCCATAAGAATTTTGAAAACATTAGAAGATTCATCGGAAAATTCTGCATCTTCCCACATACTTTTTGACATTTTGTAGTTAAATCTGCTAGGAAAATATCTCTGTACAAAAAGCTGATAAATCTAAGTAAACCTAACTTTTGAAGCTATTTTTCACAGACTTTAGTTTTTTGGCTATAAAAGCAGTAAAATGTTCAGAATCCAGAATTTTAGTCTTATTATCTTACATAGAATTAAATTCTGTGTCTTTTGATATATAAACAAACTTCTGAATTGAAACCATTAATTAAAAAAATTAATTTAATTTGAAAAAATTGAAAAGCCGGTTGAGAACTACTTATGAGACCAGCTGACGTAGTGGAAACATTGCGTGAAGTTGTAAATGAGTGAGATCGATAGAGTAAAAAAGTCTCTATCTTTCTACCTAGAAAGTTAACTATTGAACCTCAGACAATGCGCTAAAAATCTAAAAGAAAGAGACGACAAAAGCACTTCGCAGTTCGACAGCTCAGCACCCTTCAATATTTTGAATGGTGCTCAAACAAGAAAAATGCTCTCAGAGATTCAAATAATAGGTTTTATAGAGAATTCAATTCTCTATCTTTTGGTATATAAAGGAACTTCCTATTTGAAGAGAAAGTACGAAAAAAATGCAGTAGCATTTACTCCAGTTTATTATGACACACCCGTTAGATTGAGATCCAACAAAAAATTGTTTTAGAAAAAGATCTATGCTCTGGCCTACCCTAAGAATCTTGAGCTCTAGTCCTGCTCGAACCTGAAGGACAGGACAAGGTCGACCTGCACATTTCCAACGTAACACTCGTCGCTGTATTCTTGGCTAGTGCTGTTCTATTGGATATAATTCATCAGTTAGCCAAAAACCCATCTACCTGCATAGTTTAAGACTCATTTTACACATGTGTCAGTGAACGATTTGCGTCACGGCCTTTTTTCCTGAAACTAATTTGTGAGGATCGGTATTCTTCTTGTTTTCTAGATTGGAATATGAACGACGTAATGCGAAGAAAGAAGCAGATGACTTAGAAGTATATGAAAAATTTGGATCCAAAAATAAACAAGAATCGTTGGGTGTTAACATTCACTAACACAGAATGACTCATTAACATACTCTCTAAAATAAAACTTTAAAAAGGTTTTTTTTGAGATCAGTTAGTTACAAGCTAGAAAGAGATCCCGTTGGTTCTTTTTCTGTTACACTTAAAGACCGCTCCTCCACCACGTTTCCTGGAGTAACAAGGAGAATTTTGGCGAGTTCGGTATGTTTATATATGGAGTGGAGCGTATGTGATTCCAACTGTCAGTCAGTTTTCGTGTAGGAAATGCCGTTCTTTGAATATTCTCACCTGTAGCATAAAAGCTCATATATTTCACATTCCTATACTCGAGTGTTTTCTTTATCCTTTTGTGAGAGTGAAACTATAGAGAACCAAAAAGGTTACTCTAAAATCGGCTTGGAAGCTTTCGAAAATCGATAGAAGAAAGTATGCATAAAGCTGACAGTATGCATGATAAGTATGACAGGCGCCGATTTTTTAATTAAGCCTTTATTGGTTTTCCAGGTAACCAACAATCTCCAAAACCCGAAAAAGGCTTCCGGATTTTCTAAAAATCCTCTATTTGACAAAAAACTAGGACCTAACTCAAAAATCGGCGTTTGTCAGTCCACGTAGTTTCTTTTCCTCTTTTAAACAAAAAAACAATAAACTCTCTACGACAAACCGCTATTAAAAGTCTAGGGACACACTTCAGGTATAACTTCCATGTATGGAAAACGCTATATAAAATGTTCAGTTTTGAGACTTCTAGGAAAATGTCTGTAACTTTTCGATGCAAGGTCACTCAGAGTTGTGCGAGGTCTTATTTTGATCAGAAACGTTTGCTCTACAAATCTGTGTGTTCAGAAGAATTTTAATTTCATAAGTATTCAGGAAAAAACTATTATTTGAAGACCCGATTTTTCGAGGCTCTTAGAAAACTTGCTCAAAATCCCCGAAAAACCACTTTTGTAACCAGAAGAAGTACAGATTCTGGAAGTAGACACTTCAGGCTATCTTTCCATGTGCTTATCTCAAAATCGATTTTTTGACCGAAAGTCACCATTCTGAGGGGGGGACGGCCCCTTGAGAGGAAAAACATTACTTTAAGGATATCTCTCGTTTTTGAGCTCCAAAATAAAAAAAGTTTGAAACTGTGTTTGATGTGGCTCTATGTAGACCAAAGGACTCTCTTCAAAATGAGACTCATACCGACTCCCAAAAAGTGCTGATTAAAAAATTATACTGATTTTCCTCAGGGCCCCGCAAAATATGACATCCTGCTTTCGCACATATCTTAGCATTTTCCAGCTGTAACTCTTCGTAGATGCATCCGTTCGATTCGAAGGACTTTTCTCATAACGGAGAAATTGTTACCACAAGAAGTGGTGGCGTAATAATAGATCTATTTCTGTTTAGTTTTCACAAATGCTGCTCTGTTCTCATTAGACAAGCATTTCAAAACAACTCGGGAGAAAAAAATGAGTTTCATGAGTACCATATCAAAATTTGATGATCTTTTTCTAGAGAAGCGGTATTTGAGATTTTTACATATTCGGAATCAGCGTGATGAGTTATGTTGTACGGCGCAAAGATCTCTTCGGAGTACACGCAAAAATGGGGTCTTAGGACTCCCACTTAGAATATCACTGTATTCAACGGTATAGTTCATCCTTCAACTTCAAACATGCCGCATTTTATTCGTTCTGCTTGTAGTGTAATTTTTCTTTCTGTTTGATTTTTTTTGCTTTTCTACACATATATAGAGAGAGATATAGAAAGCAAGAAAGTGAACAGTGAAAAAAGTTCTTCTCATCGAAATGTTCAGTTATTAATTACTCTATATTCTATCAACTTGATAGATTAAAAAGTTAACAATTTTGAAAGTACCCCTCTCCGTTTTCTAGGTCAGTTTGAAGTACACAAGTTGTGCTCTATGTCGAGCTATTTTTTAGAAAAGGGTACAGTCTACCTTTTGAGATACAGAGCTGTCAATGCAGCTTCTGTGTGCACATAGAAATAGATATAAAGTAAGAAACGGAAAAAAGGACAAATTTTATGTTTTTATCCAAAAGGAAAATCGCAGTCGCTATAAAGTGAGTGTATATTCTGGCAACTTCCCAGATTAAAAAAGTTAACAAGTTTGAAAGTACCCCTCTCCAGTTTTTAAGACAATTTGAAGTACACAAGTTGTATCTGTACGCCAAGCTATTTTTTAGAAAAGGGTAAAATCTACTTTTTCTTGAAACGAAAGAATTTTTTTGACTAGCATCACTTTCCGGCTTTCTCTTCGGGTCATGATAGTCGAATAAGACAAACACTTTCACATCATCGGTTGAAATTTAATGATTCGCAGAGTAGCTACGACTGATCAGCGAGATTCACTACATGTAAAAGAGACAAAAGCAGAGTAGACTCGAGAAAAGCAACCCCCAAAACACAAGAAATTCCAGAGATCATATCGTTTTCTGTCCTGATCACAGCTGAACTTTGTGGGATGCTACTAGTGTATAGAACTGTACTGTTGTATCACCGCAAGAACTTCGTGCTTGCGTCTGAAGAAGGTGGTTTCTCTCCACAAAATCTTCATGTGTTCATTTTGTTTTGATTCAAGCAAAATTCTTCAAAATCGGATATTTTAAACTGAATTATATCGAAGCACCATAACTTGACCCGAATGTGTCACTTTTACAACGACGGAAGCCGGTATGTAAAATGGTTCACCATCCAGTTGAGCTAACATCGGTGTTTGTAGTTCAATTGTTAAACGACTACATTGAGCAATGCGTTGACCATGAAATCCAACGTGTATAAGGCCCATATGTGTTGCTGATAGGCCGACAATTTCAAGTTTTTTATCACCAAAATCTTGTCGATCCATGGTAGTCGGCGTCGATGATTCATCCCTCTTCCCGTCATGTAAAGTTTCTAACTCAAACGCATCTTCATTTTCCGAAAACTCTTTATTTGGAAAAGTCGTGGACGATTTCCCCCATGGATTTGTTCCCGATGCATAGCCAGGAATGTTGAGTATAACAAGAGTGTGACAATTACGCAGAGAATAGGTTAGATTCACACCATCACAGATTACTTTCATATAACCTCTAAGATCCCATCGGCTAGCTTTTGCAAAATCACCAGCATATTTAAGACTTTCATTGATATACATCAATTTATTTTTCCACGGACTAGAAAATTTCGATGGTTTACGTGCTCGATGATCATGAAAGTCTAGTGCAATCGCTGCATCTAACCCGAACGACATATAATTAATAAAATAGGAATTTGGCGACATCTGAAAATTTTCATACAGGAGTCGGTTTGTTTCACGCAAAAATGATGGACCATTCAATACATCTGGAGTTTGTCGTTCTGCAATTGATTCTAATTCTACGTGCCATCGATCGAGCCGTGCTTTTTCAGCTGCTGGAATTTGTAGCAGTGTTGTGAGTAAACGTTTACTCTCGTATTCACGACCCCAGTTTAAAACTCGTGATAAATCATTCCCAGTTCCGAGTGGACAAATGGCAACAGGCGGATTTGTTGGACCATCATAGACTTCAGCTAATTTGGCTAAGACCCATCCCACGCTACCATCCCCACCGAATACACAAATATGGAGATTTGCTACGCCACGATAGATTTCCAAAGCTTGCAATATTGTTTGACTATTATCTAACAGAAATATTTGTCTGGGATTTAAGAAGCTTAATAGCTTTTCATAAATGTTTGCGCCAGTTTGCCCTCCACTACGTTTATTAATGAAGATGAGCAAAGGCGTGTAGGAAGACTCGTTGGATTCATGAATAAATGCCGCAAACTGAAATTTTCCGTTTTCCTGTTGTGCAATTTTACGGATCCATTGTGGACGAACGATAATATCTCTGATATGAAATATAAAGGAAGTAAATGCTTAATACAACAAGAGCGCCTAAACATCTGTTAAAATATGCGCTGTCCCGGCAAAGAAAAGGGAACCAGCGGAAACCGTTCTTTATAAAGAACATTTTCCCTTATTGATTTTCATTTTATTCGATAGGAACAGAGAGCTATTCTTAGCGTATTTCAATAACCAGTTTTGTTTCTTACTACGCTCGGAAAACTGGAAAACGTATGGGATGTATGCAGCGGAAATAGGCGGCGGAGCCTTTAGGCCTGGAACAGCTCAAGCCTCTCCTAAAAAAGGAAGCGGAAGGCTTGGGGTGGCTCGGATATTTGATTTTCTCCGATCATTGTTTAAAAAAAAATGTTGAGTCTCCCTAGGTTAGAGTCGTTTCGCCGCCTATGGCAGAGGATTATGCTCACAAATTTCACAGTAAACGTTTGGCAAGAAAAGTGGTTTTTTCTTTGACAAAAAAATTTCGGAGTTTGATGGTATTTTTCGCTTTGATACTAGCACTCTCCGAAATGCCTAAAACATCCGTTGCATATATCTAAAACTATTTCCATAAATACCACACAAATCTTTACAAATGTAAAAAATTACGAGGAGGGCGTGCGACAGAACTCAACAGATTTACTAGGTAGTACTCCTTCGATCCTGGTAGAACTCGAATTCTGAATCTACCGTAATCTGGCAGAATTGGATCAGAATCTACCAGTTCGTAGAGAGAATATAAAAGTTGGGGGAGGGGGCATGAGAGTGAGAAGTAAGGCGCCGGTAATTCAAAAGGATAATTTGCAAAACATTTCGAAAAAATTTTTTTTCAAATAATTTTATATTTCTGTATATATTCTTGTAGAGCATCAAAAGTTACATAAGAACTGTAATTGGTTTTTTGAAATTCTTCTGTTA